TCCACTGTATGTGAACATGAACTTTTTCTGATGTTTCATTATGATAGGGATAGATTAAAAACACCTTTTCCAAATCAGTAGCTGATTACTAGGTACCTAAGACCTTGTCATTCCTCTCTAGCAAAGATATTGTATCTGACATAGCAGCTGCGCTTATGTCACTATCTGATTGAGTTTGCAATAGTCTACTGTCATCTACCAGGCTATGATAGTATTTTGCCTGGGCCCAAACTGGTGCATGAAATAGAGATATGATGAGGACCTCATCCCAGCAATTTAGGTCTTTAAAGGTGGCACTAACTTCTGTCATCCTCCCCAAGATGTTGTATGTTTTCATTTACTATCTTGGCTGAAGAAAGGGAGAGCAGTTTCAGAAGCGTCCACTTGGCCTTCTCATTTACAAATAGCTCCACAAGTCAAGGAACCAATATGGGGCTTGTACCAACTATCAAAATGTCTATCTCCATTATATATCCAGAGACCAGGAAAATAACTACTGGGTTGGTCTGTGGACCCAGTGGTGCCACTGTGAACCCAACATAGGCCAGGAGCCCATTTAATGCTGGTCTCCCAACTGCTACTACTATAACTGGATGATATTTTAAGTCTCTGGGTATCAACATCAACTCATAACCAGTGTCTGTCAGTCCTCAAGATGTTTGGGTATTCCTCTTTCCCGAACACACAGTTACCTGAGTAAACAGGACTGGAGGGATCATTACTATGCATGTAGTAATCTTCCTGGGCACCCAGCCTCTCTTTCAAACAGTGCTCTCTGGATCAAAAATTGACTTTAGGGCCAGAAGGGTGAGCAAGGGATTATGACTTTTTATTGAGACACTTTCTCTCAGACTGCTTATCTTTTATTTCTTTTGATTGTACAGATTGAGTATAGATTGTTGAGTGCCGATTTTCCCTAGGGTGCTGTGTTATATTTACCACCCACACTCTATTAATTACCTCTTAATCATCTATTCACCAGGGTCACTTTTTTCTATTAACCATCTGCTCAGCTCTCTGAGTGTCAGGCCTCTCTGTGGTGCATCATGGTATTTGCATCCACCTGACTTCTGACAGTCAAGTGCAGTCATCCTGCTTCTGTTATTTCAGAGCCATCACTATTTCATTCAGTGATCCTCCTCCTGTAACAGCCTCTCCTACTCTGAGCCTTGGCCTGCAAAAGCTAGCCCCCACTGAATTTCTTAGTGATGCTGGTGCCCCTTTCACCAGTGCATTCTTTATAGCTTTAGCAAATGGTATGCCCTTTGGGTCCTCCTGCAGAATATAGTCATCTGGAGGGAGGATTTTCCAGCCTTTTCATAATATATTTATTCTATCATTCCCACCTCCCTGAGCCTTTAATCCCTTCTCCCACCATCTGCTATGGCAGCTCTGGTCATTTTTTCCCACATTTAAGTGAATTCACATTATCTCCTAGGGTCTTTCCCAGAATGCTAAATCCTGTATCTTGGGAGAAAACTCTCAAACCAATTAATTCTCCCTTACTCAATTTTATATTCTAGCTCCCCTGATCAAGGCCCTCATAATTCAGTCCCATGCATACTCCCTTAGCACCTGCTAGTACATGCTGGCTAGGTCCTGCAGCTCCTTCTTGGGGTATTCCCTTTCCTTCTTTATCAAGCCCAGCACATTTCCATTGAGGTTATGCTGTGACTCAACTTTAGATATACGCCCAGTGGCCAGAGTGGGAGGTGAGACAGATTCTGAGGGAAACACATGTTACCTTACAGGGGAAAGGGCTCTGCATGTTCATGCAAGGTGAGGCACTAGCCTTTCATAGGAAGGAGTGGGCCACTTCTGTATGCTCAGGGAGTTAAGGGAAATCTGAGAATACAAGATTTTTAGGGACATCAATCAAGATGTCCTTATCCCATGTGTCAGGGTCCCATTTCTTTCTAACCAGGGCCCTGATCTTGGCACAGCAGATTTGTCTTGGTTGGGATTTTAACTTTCTTTGAAGTTTGCTTCCAATAAGTCCTGGGACTGGTCCTCACATTTTTCTACCCTCTACCTGGAAAAGATGAGGGCCTCTTTATATGCTATGAATGAAGCCCTCTGGCTTTCTCACATAGCTTTTTAATTGTTGGTTAATTTATTGCAGTTTTTAATTATTTTTCTAGAGGTCAATCAAGCTTAGCAATAGCCATCCAATTTTCTGGCCTTCCTTTTTTTAAAAAAATATATTTTTATTGATTTCAGAGAGAGGAAGGGAGAGGGAGATAGAGACAGAAACATCAATGATGGGAGTCATTGATTGGCTGCCTCCTGCACTCCCCCTGCTGCGGATCGAGTCCAAAACCCTGGCATGTGTCCTGACCAGGAATTGAACTGTGACCTCTTGGATCATAGGTCGATGCTCAACTGCTGAGCCATGCCAGCTGGGTTCTGGCCTTCCTTATATTTAATATTTCCCATATATTTCTCAAAATTCTACTACATAGCACCAGTTAATGCATTCCCTTCCACTAGTGCCATCTCACTTCACCATCAGTGAAAGCTGTAACAATTCCTCTTCCACCTGTTCCAGGTGCCTATCTACTCCACCTACCACCAATGACGGGGTCCTCATTGCCAGATGGGCAGCAGGTGATGATCGTTCTGCAAATTTTCATCACAATGTATGCTTTCCTGAACTCCTTCTCATACCAATTGCTGTAGGTTGGCGTCTTGGACAGCAGACTCAGAGTTCAGCAAGAAGGGCTTTTATTAAGTAATGCTCTTGGGATCACCACCTGTGGAAGGGAAAAGAAGGAAGTAGGATTGGACAGAGGGAGAAATTAAGCTATGCCACTTGGAGCAAGAAGGCCATGTTGCCATGTCAATCAGTCATTGCATGTGAAGTACCCCAGGAAGGGGGTATAACCTTGAGGGAGGTGGCTCTCCAACTGAGGCAATTCCTGAAGCGGGCTGACAGCTGAGGGCTGTCTGCTGGCAGGACTCCTAGCAACTGAAATAATAAGCTCTTTAATCCTGAAGGGGGATTAAGGCAGCAAATTGCACAATCCACAAGTGTGATATAATTTTTTCCATTAGAAAGTTGGTGGCCATCAGATGCTAGAATTGAGAATAGTTTTACTTTCAAAATGATTAACAAGATTTAAATTTTCAAACATTTACAGCTTTTTAAAAATAACATTTATTTAAATGTTTAATTTATACCTTCCAAATATTTAGATACAAATATGTGAACCTCCATTTATAATTTTGTTCTAGGTCTCTGAAATGCTATTTACAGTCCTGCTTAGCTGAATCCTTCAGTTTCCTTTTGGAAAATTATGCAAAAAAAATCCTGGTTTATTATATAAAAATTAGAAAATTCAGATAAGTTAAAAACAGATAAAATCACCCATTAATCTAATGCCCATAGGGAACTATTAACATTCTCAGAGTATATATCAGAGTTTTTACATAGAGATCATATAAATGTATACTTTTTTCATTAAAAAGTATAACATATGCTTGTGCAGACTATTTTCCCCACTTAAGATTATATGCTGAATTTTTTCCAAATAAGTAACTGTAGGTGCCCATCAACATTTTCAAGAGCTGTATGTTTCAATGTGTAGACATATCCTAATTTGTTTAGCCAAGTGTCTGTTTTGGGACACTTGGTATTTACAGTTTTTCACACTTCAAAACGGTTTGAAGCCTTATACAAGCCAATTATTTTATTATTTCCTGAGGATAAATTTCTACCAGTGGAATTACTTGGTCAAAGAGCATGTACTTCTTGAGGGCTTCTGAAACATGTGTCCAAATCAACCTTGTACCGGTGTATGCTCCCATCAGCACACTTTGAGAGTGGCCCTCCCCCCACACCCTTACCACTCTTTGGGTTGGGGGAGAGATGGATCTTCTTCAATATGAATGCCAACACTCTCTGGATGGTTCCATAAAGCCCTGCTTCAACCAACCTTACAAAAGAAATCTGATAGAAGCACTAAAAATTGTTCTTTCTGATATTATATTTTCTTATTTCAAAATAGTAACTAGCCTTAGCCAGTGTGGTTAGAGCATCAACCTGCACACTGAAGGGTCCCAGGTTTTATTCCTTGGGTCAAGAGCACATATCTGGGTTTCAGGTTTGATCCCTGCACCCAGTCCAGGAGCATGGGGGAGGCAGCCAATTAATGTGTCTCTCTCTCCCTCCCTCCCCTCTCCCTTCCAAAAAAAAAAAAAAGAGGGAGAAAAGATAGTAACTAACGTATTCATTTATACAGATAACAGTTGGTCAAGAAAGAGGACGTTTTCCTATCAAATGCCCTATCAAATACTCTAAAATAAAACTGTCTCTCCCTATTGACCCGCAGAATAGGTCCCAGCACTTCTTTGTTAAAGAGTTTCTCACTTCCTTCTTCCCCTTATCATTCTCATGACCAGCAGTAACATTTCACACCTTTATCATCTTGTATTGGACTATGGTGGTAACTTCCTAACTGGTGTTCCAATCTTCAGTGGCCACTCCTGTCCCCTCCCCAACTCAGACCCATCTTGCACGCAAATCAGCCACATTGTTTTCATTTCATCCTGTCATTTTCGTGGTCATAAAGGGCTTTGGTGTCTCCCAGTTGGATGGAGTAATATACAGACACCTCAGTGTAGCAATCATGGACCCTCCACAAATGGGACTCACCCCAACTGCTGAACTATATTTCTTGTCACTCCCTTTTCCACACTTTGCACTCAGGCAGGCCAGCCTCCTCCCTGGAGCAGGATTCTCACCTCCATGCCTTTCTTCCCACCACTCTTCTCTCCTCCAATGCCCTTCTGCCCTGCTTTTATCCTATCCTTCAAGCCCAGCTTACTTAAGTGTCCTCTCCTCTATAAAACTTTCCCTGAGCACTATTATCTGCAGAACTTTCTGCCCCGATGGGAAGGGTCTGGCCCTGATCAGAGACTCCTGGTTTTGTAAGTGTCATTTTGTTTCCATACATCTTGCCTTTCCAAATAGATCATAAACTCAAGGACAAAGACGTGTCTTTTTTTTTTTCTGCTTAAAACACACAACTTTATTAGTGACAAAAATAAAATCTCAAATGTATAAACATAAGTCCACACAAAGGACCAAAGATTACCTTACTTATGAAGAATCAGCTTAGTTTCTGCTCATGAAGCATACTAAAAACATCTCAATCCAGACAAGGTAAAAATCAACACATGTATTTTCAGTACAAGTTTGAATTAATTTGGTGTCCATAAAATGGTCCAGCTATAGACCATCATAAGTAACATCAGTATCAAAGTTATAATGCAATTTACAAAGTGCATTACTCCCAGGCTGCAAAACCAAAATATTACCCAGATTTGTTTGTAAACATACAACTTATTAAAGTTTACTTAATAATAGTTCAACTCTTTCTTTCACCTCAGGGTCATTGTATTCTGCTGCTAAGACTCGAAGTTTCTTGGCACATGCTTTAGGTCGTTGGAATACAAAATAAAGGGAATTTTTGCTGAAATTGTCCTGGGTAAATACTCTTGCTCTTCTTTTAAAATGGTAATTTATATTTTCAAATAGTGAAAGAGCATTAAGAATATTCTCTTTTGTCTCTTTCTTGCTAAAGATATTAATTAATGATGTTGGTGCATTGGCTATGAGTAAATCTTTTGTCATAGATGGATTTTTAGAGAAATTCAAAAGCATTCCCAAAATATGGTCTTTAGTTTCTCCACTTCCCACAGTTAACAAACGAAGGAATTCTGAAATATAATTTGTAACCATATGCTGATATTCACTAATAATAGTCAGGTGCTTTATCAATCTTAGTCCAGCCAGCTGCACATTTGAATTCAAGGGATAGGTGATGGTATCTTCACATACTTGGTTTAAGTATGTTTTAACCTTCCTATGATTTTCAGCAGCCACGGAGATGTTATTTAGTGCATTTAAAGCCTTCTGCCTAACACTGGCATGGGGATTATTGAGCAAGCTTTCAATAATTGAGATTCTACCTGCATTACGAATAACTTCATGGGAAAATGGACAATCAGGACTGTTATATAGAGCATTATTGGCTATTTCATGAATAGAAGGATCTTCAGTCATCTCAATCATACAAATGAGTTTTTCAAGCTCTCGTGGATCCATATTAGTTTTGTGTTTACAGCGGCAGGCCCAGGGCTGAGCTTTCTCCCCGGACCTGACCTGCTTTCTGAGCTTTTCAGGTGGTAAGTACGGCTCATTTTGGTATGGAAATTTCATTTCTGTCCAGATCATGGTTCCCGCCCATGACCCCATTCCTGCCCCAGGAACCATGCATGGGTACGTGCCTCTAGACTCAGATGATTTTTTAGTCTTAGGTGCAGATTTGTCTTCACTTCTGTTTTCATTACCATCCCTGAACCAAGACCTTACATCAACTCCACCAGTAGCCTCAAGCTTATCTGTGGAGCTGGCCTTATCTCCAGCCCCACACTCAAAACTGACATTTTTCTCACTCTTGGATCTGTACTCATTATTGTTCTCACTCTCAGCCCAAAACAAGGACCTTAAACTGATCTCCTCAATATCAGGGCTGGATGCTCTACTTAGCTCATCCTCATCTATATCCTCGGCCAAAGTCCAGGACCTCATGCCAAGCTCTTCTCCAGCTCCAAGCCTAGACCCTGTAGTGGTCGCATCTTCATCCCAGAGCCAAGACTCTTTCCTGGCCTCAGCTCCAGCCTCAGCCCCTACACAGGAATCCATAAAGGCCTCCTCTTCAGATCTGATCCAAGACCCAATACTGGCCTTGTTTTCAACCTTAAATCTGAAATTAACCATGCTCTCTTCTTCAACCTCTGATCTGGATTCAACACTGGGTTCATTTTTCCTTTCAGGCCTGGGCACTATACCAGCCTCTTCTCCTCTCCAGAACCAGGACCCTGTACTAGTCTCATTCCCAGCCCCAAACCAATATCCTTCATTGGCCTCCCCAGCACTGACTTGGGACCTTCCACAGGCCTGGTCCCCAGCCCTAGTCCAGGACCCTCCACTAGTCCGATTCTCAGGCCCCAGCCTAGATCCAGCCCAGGATTTTCTACCAGTCTGATCCCTAGTGCCAGCCCGGAAGCCTCCTCCACTGACCTGATCCTCAAATCCAGGTTTGGAACAGCTACCTGCCTGATCCCCAGCCTCAACCCAGGACCTTCCACTAGCCTGTTTCCCAGTGCCAACCCAGGACCGAACATTGGACTGGTCCACAAACCCTGGTGTAGACCCTCCATCAGCTTGTTCTTCAGCCCTAGCCCAGGACCCACCACTGGACTGGTCCATAGGCCCTAGCCTGGACATTCCATTGGCTTGATCTGCAGTGCCAGCCCAGGAGCTTCCACTGGACTGGTCCTCAGACTCCAACCTAGACCCTCCACTGCCCTGGCCAGCAGCCCCAGCCCAGGATACATTTTCACTGGCCTGATTATCAAATCTAAGCTTGGATCTACCACCAGGTAGATCAGCAGTCCCAATCCAGGACTCTCCACTAGCCTTGTCCACAGCTTCAGTCCAGTACCCAATACTAGCCACATTTCCAGTCCTAGCCTCAGTCCAGGAATCTTCATTTGCCTGAATCATATCCCCATCCCAGGACCTTCCACTAGCCTGCTCTTGAACCCCAGGCCAGGACCCTCCATTGACCTGGTTCTCAGCCACTGTCCAGGACCCTCCAATGGCCTTTTCCCCAACCCAGGACATCTCACTGACCTGACCTCCAGTCCAAGGTTCCCCAGTAGCCTTGTTCCTAGTGTCAACCCAAGACCCCCCACTGACCTGGTTCTCAGCCCTAGTCCAGGACCCTCCAATGGCCTTGTTCCCAGTCCAGAGATCCCCACTGGCTTCGTCTCCAGATCTGTCCCAGGATCCAATGCCAACCTCATTCTCAGCTTTAGCCCCAGGCCAGGACTTACTGGCAGCCTCGTCACAAGCCCTAGCCCAGGACCTAAAACCAGACTTATCACTAGTCCTACTCCAGGACTCAATATTGGCTTCATTCTCATCATCAGCCCAGGACATGCTATTTTCCCAGTATCCATCCCTAGCCTGAAACCTAAATTTAATCCATCGCTCAGAAGCAACCCAATCTTCAATACCAATTCCACTCCAGTAATAGTCATGAACCTTAGGCTGTGTCTTTCCACAGGCCTGAGTACCTGTCCCACCCTCACTCTCAGAAGTGGGCATGACCTTAGGCTTGGAATTTATATAAACACTTTCTTCTGTGGCTTCTGCCTTAGACTTGAGTATAGCTTTGTCCTTTGCACCAAGCAAGGTCTTACTCTGGGAAAGGACCATGGACTGAGGCTGGCCAGAGCCCACTGTATCTGCCCTGGCCTCTGCCTTAGACTCAGCATTGGGATTGTCCTTGACCTTACTCCTGGCACCAAGCAAGGCCTCACCATGAGAACTGCCTGAAGGCTGGGGCTGAGCAGAGCTTGCTGTATCTGCTCCAGTCTCTGTCTTAGACACAGCATTGGGATTTCCTCTGACCTTATTCTTGGCACCAGGCAAGGCCTCACCCTGAGAATTGGCCACAGTTTGAGGCTGGAAAGAGCCTGTTGCATCTGCCCTGGCCTCTGCCTTAGACACAGCATTGGGATTGTCCCCGACCTTATTCTTGGCACCAGACAAAGCCTCACCCTGAGAACTGGCCGTTGTCTGGAGATGGGCAGAACCCACTGCATCCGGTCGAGTCCCTGCCTTAGACACAGCACTGGGATTGACCTTGACCTCAATCTTAGCACCAAAAGAGGCCACACACTGTGAATTGGCCACAGCTTGGAGCTGGGCAGAGGCCATTGTATCTGGTCCACCCCCTGACTTAGACATAGCATTGGGATTGCCCCTGACCTTATTCCTGGCACCAGGCAAGGCTTCACCTTGGGAATATGACACAGCCTGGGGCTGAGCAGAGCCCCTTGCATCTGGCCCAGCTCCTGCCTTAAACACTGCATTGGCATTATCCTTGACTTTACTTCTGGCACCAGAAAAGAACTCACCTTGGGAATTAGATACAACTTGAGGCTGGGCAGAGCTGGGTGTATCTGCCCTGGCCTCTGCCTTAGACACATTATTGGGATTGCCCCTGACCTTATTCTTAGTACCACACAGGGCCTCACCCTGTGAATTGGTCACAGTTTGGGGCAGGGCAGAGCCCACTGCATCTGGCCCAGCCCCTGCCTTAGACACAGCATTGGCATTGCCCTTGACTTTACTCCTGGCACCAGGTAAAGCCTTACCCTGAGAACTGGCCATAGCCAAGAGTGAGGCAGAGCTTGTTGATTCTGTCCTGGCCTCTGTCTTAGACTCAACATTGGTATTGCCCCTGAGCTTATTCCTGGCACCAGGCAAGGCTTCACCTTGGGAATATGACACAGCCTGGGGCTGGGAAAAGCCCATCGCATCTGGCCCAGCTCCTGCCTTAAACACTGCATTGGCATTGTCCTTGACTTTACTCCTGGCACCAGGAAAAAACTCACCTTGGGAATTAGATACAACTTGGGGCTGAGCAGAGCTGGGTGTATCTGCCCTGGCCTCTGCCTTAGACACATTATTGGGCTTGCCCCTGACCTTACTCTTAGTACCACACAGGGCCTCACCCTGTGAATTGGTCACAGCTTGGGGCAGGGCAGAGCCCATTGCATCTGGCCCAGCCTCTGCCTTAGACAAAGCACTGGCATTGCCCTTGGCCTTATTACTGGCACCAGGCAAGGCTTCACCTTGGGAAATTGACACAGCTTGAGGCTGGGCAGAGCTTGTTGCATCTGCTCTGGCCTCTGCCTTAGACACAGTATTGGGATTATTTCTGACCTTATTCTTAGTACCAGGCAAGACCTCACCCCGAGAATTAGTCATAGCCTGGAGTTGGTCAGAGCCAATTGCATCTGGCCCAGCCCCTGCCTTAGACACAGCATTGGGATTGCCCTTCACCCTATTCCTGGCACCAGGCAAGGCCTCACCTTGAGAATTGGCCACAGCTGGGGGTGGGGCAGAGCCCCTTGCATCTGGCCCAGCCCCTGTTTCAGATACAGCATTGGAATTACCCTTGACCTTATTCTTAGTACCAGGTAAGGCTTCACCCAGGGAACTAACTACAGCCTGGGGCTGAGCAGAGCCTGTTTTATCTGGCCCAGCCCCTGCCTTAGACACATTGGGTTTGCCCCTGGTCTTATTCCTGGCACCAGGCAAGGCTTTACCTTGGGAATATGACACAGCCTGGGGCTGGACAGAGGCCATTGTATCTGCTCCAGTCTCAGCCTTAGACACAGCATTGGGATTGCCCTGGAGCTTGTTCACAGCACTAAGCAAGGCCTTCTCTTGAGAACTGGCCACAGTCTGGGGATGGGCAGAGCCCACTGTATCTGGCCCAGTCCCTGACTTAGGCACAGCATTGGGTTTGCGCCTGATCTTATTCCTGGCACCAAGCAAGGTTTCGCCTTGGGAATTTGACACAGTCTGGGGCTGTGAAGAACCTGTTTTATCTGCTCCAGTCTCTGTCTTAGACACAGCATTGGGATTTCCCCTGACCTTATTACTGACACCAGGTAAGGCCTCACCCTGAGAATTGGCCACAGCCTGTGGCCGAGCAGATCCTGTTGAATCTGTTCGAGGCTGGACAGAGTCCACTGTGTCTGGCCCAGCCCCTACCTTAGACACAGCATTGGGAATGCCCCAGACCTTATTTTGAATACCAGACAAGGCTTCATCCTGGGTATTGGCCATAGCCTGACGCTGACCACAAGCCCTCATTTCTGCATTAGCCCCTGCCCTAAAAATGGCATTAGGATCTCCCCTGTCATCAACCCTGGAATCAGGCAAAGCATCAGTTTGGGTCTTGCCCCCACCCTGAGGCTGTGCATAGGTTTTCATGTCTGTCTTGACTCCTGCCTTACTCTTGCCTTTGGCTTTGCCCTTAGCCTTAGCTCTGGTACTAGGTAAGGCCTCAACTTGGCTCATGGCAGAAGCCTGAGATTGTGCCTTTGTGTCTGTCCTAGCCCCTTCCTTAGACATGGTGTTGGCATTGTCCTTAGCCTTAATCCTGCCATCAGGCAAGGCTTCACCCTGGACACTGGCCATAGGTTGAGGCTGTGTATAGGGTAACATATCTGTTCCAGCCCCTACCTTAGAAATGGCACTGGGATTGCCTGTGAACTTAACCCTGGAATCAGGCAAAGCTTCAACCTCGGAATTGACCCTCAAGTTTGCCTTGGCTCCTGTTTTAGATATGGCACTGGAATTGCCTCTGCCTTTAACCCTGGAATCAGACATAGTCTCGGGATGAGCAATAGTCTTCATGTCAGCTCCAGTCATTGACCTAGATATGACATTGGTATTTCCCCCGTCATCAACCCTGGCACCAGACGTTGCCTCAGCCTGTTTCTTGGCCACAACCTGAGGTTGTGTAGAAGCTCTCATATCTGCCCCCATTCCTGACTTACACATGGCATTGGTATTACCCCTAGCATCAACCCTTACCCCAGTCATGGTCTCAGCCTGAGCTCTGGTTACAATCTGAGACTGGGCACAAACCCTCATGTCTACCCCAGACCTTGCTTGAGACATAATTTTCTGATTTCCCCTAGCTTCAACCCCAGTACAAGGCATGTCATCAACTTGGATCTTGGCCACAGCCTGAGACAGTGCATGAGACCCTATGTCCACTCTAGCTTCAGCCCTGGACATGGTATTTAGATTTCCCTTAGCATCAACTGTGGTACCAGGCCTGGCCTCAGGCTGAGTCTTGGGCACATTCACAGTCTCTTCCAGGGCTCTTGCTTTGGTCTCAACCACAATTCCAGTCTTGTTTATGGCATTCATCTTGGCCACTTCCTTGGTCATTGCCAAGGCCTTATTCTGTGTCACAAGTACTCTGCTCATCTCTGTTACTTTTTCAGCAAATATCTGAGCTTCCACTTTGGTCTGGGTCACTGCTTCTTTCTTGGCCTCTGCCCTGGCAAACATTCCCCAAGCTTTAGCCTTGGTCTGGGTCACTGCTTCTTTCTTGACTACTCTCTTAGCCTCAGAGTCAGTTTGGGTCACTGCCTCTTTCATGGCCACTTCCTTGGCTTTGACTTTGGCCTCAGCCAGAGTCCCTGAATCTGTCATGACCACTGTTTTGACCTCAGATTGGGCCTCTGCCTGTGCCCCAGTCATTGCTTTGGCCTGAGAGTTGGCTTTGGCTCTGGCCCTAGCAGTGGCCTTAGTCTTTACTTCAACCCCAGCCCCACCTCCTGTTCCAGTTTCTGCTCCAGTCTTGGCCTTGCATCTAGTCTCAATCTCTGTCCCATCCATGGCTTCACTCGTGGCCAAGGTCTGGTTCTGTACCCCAGCCACAGTCTCCATCTTGACTCTAGACTCATTGCTGGCAAGTCTCCTCACACTCTGGGCTCTTCCCGTGGTTAATCTGTAAATATAGTAGCAGGTACCAGCCCAGATCACCAGTCCTGCAGTCACCCAGCCCACTTCCTGAACGCGACCCATGTAGTCACCCCTGCTGAAGGCACAGATAAGGTACGGGGGGGCTCAGATGGGCTGGGGAAAGAGGGTGGTAGGTCTGGGTGTAGGCCTGTAAGGGTGCTGGTCTTCAGCTCAAAGGCCACTACAGCTGTCACTGGAGTTGGACCTAGAAGTGGAGGAAGGAAATGGACTAAAATTTCTCTTCTAATTCTGTGCATCATACAGATAGATACACAGGAGGACAGGAAAGTGTAGAAATAATATGCTTGGTGAGAGAAGAGAATCATTAGCAAATTCTCTCTCCATTGTTTTTATTTTATCCCCTCCCCATTTTCCCTAGTACCCAACAATTTTCCCCCAAGGTACTTCCATAGACATTTCCTCACACCAAATAAATAATGAAAAGGATAGTGGGAGGGCTGACTATGAATGGGAGAGACTGAGAAGCCCTCAGACCTTGATTTTTATTGGACCCACTCTGTTCATCACTCCCACAGGTCTCTACCCTCATACTAACCTGTATTGATCAGCAGCAGTTCCCTCCTCTTTCCTTCTCTTGATTGGTGATACACCCTAAAGTAGATATATATACTCATGAGATCTATGGACCAAGAGACAGACAGACAGATGGAAGGACAAATAGGAGTGGAGATTTTGTTCTTTATGTGACTGGCTTATTATTAATAAACTACCTCTCTATCCCCCTCAGTTCACCCCACTCCCTGTACCAAAATAAAAGTGAAGGTGTGGGGTAATTGAAAGGTGGCTGGAAAAGGGATAGACTGAGGATCTCCAGGCTGGACACTTGACCTACTAGATACACTCTGGCCTCTACCAACCCACCCTAGAGGTCTACCCAGGCAGTGACCATCCTCTTACCAGTCTCTACTGATCAGGCGCAATTTCTTCCTCGCTTCTTTGCTTCCAGTCATCTCAAGCCTTGCAGCAAACCTGAAGGCAGAACTATGAACAAATAAACAAACAGGAGGTAATAGAGACTGAGTCCTTCATAAAACAGACAAGCACCCTGATCCCTGACTCCAGTATCTGTCTTGCCAGAGAGCCCAGGTCCAGTTAGCTAATGTGTCCCATTTTATGGTCCCTCCCTCTCCTCTTCTTTCAGTCACACTCAAGCCCACCTTTACCCCAATATCCCAAAATGTTTCCTGCACTGAAATCAGTAAGGGGTGTGGCAACACTGTGGAAATCTGGGGTATGGCAACACTGGAAATCTGTGTAGGAGGGGCAGAAGTACCATCTACTGAGACCCTCTCAAGTCTCAGCCACGTTCTATTCCCACCCTCTCAGACCCTGCCCACCTTCACACCAACCTCCATGGTCCTAGACCAGTCTCCACCTTTTCCTTTCTTCCAGTGGTAAACAGCCCTACTGTAGATGTATGGGAAGATCTAAGAACAAACAGAGAAAAAGGGGAAGGTGAATGTTGAGTGCTTGTGACATCCAAGCATTTAAAGACACAAGTGTCAGTGCCTGCCTTATTGGATTTAGACACCCATTCCCTGGCAGACAGAAACTTGGGCTTCCCCAGCACTGATGTGGGCAGGGTGAAAAGGGCAGGAAAAATAAAAGGGGAGTGACACAGGAAAAATCTTTTAAAAACCACCTGTAGGATTCTAGGGCTTCTCCCAAAAGTCCATCGTTTCCTTCACCAAGATGCTCAGTCAGGGTATCTGAAAACTGGAGGGTGGCGAGAGAGATGGAGGCCCCCAGTGATTCCCACAGTCTAGAAGCATCATAGCCTACTGCCATCTACTTTCCCTAAAGCCCATCTCTAGGAGTCTCCAGCAGTAGAAGAGACAAGGTGTGGGGGAAGGCTTTTGCTTTTGCAAAATCACTGTCCCTCTCCTGCAAAGACTCTCTCTCCTCTCTTGCTCTCTCTCTCTCGCCCTCAAAATAGTAATGTTCCTTAATACAATTTGCATCTTCTCAATATTATCTGAAGTGCAAATTAAATCATCGGTAGAAAAGTTTGTTATCTTTACTGGTCTTCAATATATGATTTAAGTTTAAGATCCTAAGCTTGGTAAGTAAACGCAGTTTAGGGAAAGTCCCCTAGCTAGCCCCACCCCCATATTCCAACTAGATAGTGGCGCCTAAGTTCCTGTCATATGGAATTCACATTGAACTTGGGTGGTTCACAGATAATACCCATGCTCACACTAACCTCCACAGATCTTACGCAGCTTTCTCCACTCCTTCTTCACTGGCTTCGCCACAAACTGTGCCACACCGAGCTATTGTCCGTCTCAAGTCTCAAGGAGTAAAGGCACTGAGGGCTTGGACCAGCACCCTGGACACAGATCCCAATACTCGCCAGTCTGGATTCAGAACCCAGTTATCAAACATCCGTCCCTCCCAACATTCCGGTAAGCCACCCCCACCAACCCTGCCTTCTAAAGTCACTAAAGCCCACCATTTTCTCTGTCAACGCCACCATGGCGTGTCCCTTCCACTGAAATGAGCAGGAAGCTTAAGGGACGTGTGGGGTCAGTGATTAGAGTCAGGGAGGAAGGGGCATCTCAACATCGGTATTTCCCTTTTGAGACACTACTCCCACCAGCCGCCCTGTCAAAGCCCAGGGTTCGCCTCCACACACTAGGCAGGGGGAGGAGGGGGCTCGGAAGATTCAGAGGGAAGGCTCCTGGAACTTGAACCAGTATTGTCCCCCACCCCTGGTTCGGCTACCGGGGTTGGGGGTCGGCTACCACCCTGGCCTCCGCGAGCGCCCCGGACCCCTACCTGCTCCGCTTTCCCTGGGCCCGAGGCCAGCCTGTCCTGCGCAGGGTTGCGGCGGGCTGGTACCCAGACCAGAGTGACGACTGCACCGAAGGCTGCGTCGCTCTGCAGCTCCTGGTCACGTGAGGGCTTTGCGTCAACAAGGAGCTCTCCCCCCCTCCCCCACTAGCCCTCGAGGAGTTCG